AGGAAATAGAGACAGAATAATGTTTCCCCCTTCTCTCAAAAACAACACAGTAGGACAGCAATTGGGAGTTACAAGTTCCAGCAAGCCACCAGTGCTTTCAAACAAGGTAGCTTACATTTGTTGGCTACTCAGCAACTCTCCTGTTAAGCTGCCATCATTGGTCATATCCTCCTTCCACCTCTATCACTTTGCCATACTGCTCCCCATCCTCAATGTCGTTTGTCCTATTCTATTGCTGTCTTGTTGGACAAGGGATTTTTGGTTTTTCATTTTCAGGTGTGTATATATATGCATGTATTTTGGTTTCTCTATTGGGACAGATTCTTAGATTATCTAACACTGATGTTTCACAGAAACTGTCTTCTATTTCACCTGTAATTTGGCACTTCTGCATCTGGCCACTGTGCCCAACATCTTACTCTGGGAAGACTCACCGAAGCAGGCTTCTAGTTTTATTTACAGTTGTCTGTGTAGACTGACTCTCGATGGGAACTAGCTCACTCTTGGATGGAGAACTACCATTTTTCTATGTAATGACACTGTTTTGATTAACACCACTATCAAAAACATTGTGTATTTGTTTAGATGGTGCCTTAGTCAAATAGTGTAATTATTGGAACCTCTCTCTTGTTTTTTTTGTCTATCTTTTCTTCAGGTTCTTCCACCTAAAATGAATAAGCATTAGCAATCGACTGTATTTAAGTTGCTCCTTGCATCCTACTCCTTCCCTCATTTAGCTGGAATCTGTATGTGGTAAACTCTCAGAGTCTTTGTATTTCTAAAACTATTTTTCAGTAGTAGTTTAGCCAGGTATAAAACTCTAGGGTGGCAGCTATTTTTCCTTAGCACTGGAAGATGATTAACTTCATTGTCTTTTTGGTTCTATTGTTGCTAACGAGAAGTCTGCTGTCAGTGCAGTTATTCCTTTGTGAGTATCCTGTCCTTCCTTTTTCCTTTTATGATTTTTCTCTTTATTCTTGCCGTTTTGTAGTTTTATTGCAATGTATGTAGATGTGAAATTATTTTTATTTATCTTGTTTATTCCTTAGTGTATACTACCTGAGGACTCTTGTCTTTCTTTAAATCTGGAAAATTTTTAGTCTTCTCTCTTCAGTATTACCTGTCATTCCTATGTTTTCAATTTCTAGAATTTCTGTTAGGCGTATGTACTTCTCAATCTATCCTCCATTTCTTTTAAATTATTTTTTATATTCCTTCTTTTAAAATATTTTCATTATTTCATTTCTCTCTGCTATATTCTGAGTCATTTCCCCAGTAATATTTAGTCATTAGACAACTTTCTTTTTGAAAACGTCATTACAGGTTTGTAGGTGGATCATTGGGTGGGAAGTTTAAGGCTAGTGGCCTTTTATGTATATATATGTGTGTGTGAGAGATATATATATGTATGTATGTATATATATATATATATACATACATATATATAACTAATGAAATAGAAGGAAAGATCATCTGCTGATAATGAGTGATTCCACGTGGCATAAAATGAAGGAGATATACAAAGTGGTGAAAGTCACCAAGGATGAGTACTACTTTCATTTATTGGTTAAAAAGCTTTCATCGAAGATTTTTTTAAAGTGAAAATTAAAATAACTCATGATTATAGTCTTGATGTTTTCTTTAAGCAAAAAAGAGAACTTTTTAGCTGAAAATATCTACATTATTTTTATTTGACTTCATATTAGCAAGATATAAAGGAAAGAAGAGAGGTCTGAGAGTTAGAATACCTGTATTCCAGTCCTGTTTCTGCCAGAGCTTTTTTGTTTGTTTGTTTATTGTTGTAGTTTAAATGAAGTTTACATTTCAAATGTACAAAAATTCATACGTACATTGTTATGTGACCCTAATTGCTCTCCCCATACTGTGACAGTACACTCCTTCTTCCCACCCCTGATCCTCATGTCCATTCAACCAGCTCCTAACCCTCTCTGCGTTCCTATCTCACCTCTGGACAGAAGCTGCCCATTTAGTCTCTAGTATCTACTTGAGCTGAGAGGCACACTCCTTACAAGTATCACTTTATGTCCCACAGTCCAGTCCAATCTCTTGTCTGAAGAGTTGTCTGCCAGAGCTTTTGATAAGTTATTTAAGTTTGTCAGTTTTTCAGACTTATAAAGAGTACTGTAATAGTATATGGCTTGCCTGTTTTTTAGTAGTTATTTTTATAAAAATAAACGAGATTATTGATTATGAAAATGTTTTGAAAACCATAAGCATCATTCCTAAGATATAGAGATGTAAAAGGTAGTGTAACATGTAGATTTAAATTATTTTGTGTCATTTTTATGATTACTTTCTCCATATTAAAAGAGAGAATGTGTTAAAAGTATAGTATTAATTTTTTTTTTTTTAATGAAGAGAAGTTTATTTCCTCACAGTCAAAGTAGGCTGAAAGTCTAAATTCAGGGCATCAGCTCCAGGGGAAGCCTTTTTCTCTCTGTCGGCCTTCTCTTCAGTGTTCCCCCGGACTAGGAGCATCTCTGCGCAGGGACCCCGGTCCAAAGGACATGCTCTGCTCCCGGCACTGCTTTCTTGATGGTATGAGGTCCCCCTGTCTCACTGCTTACTTCTTTTATATCTCAAGAGATTGCCTCAGG